TATTCTTTCATTCAGATTTGCTCTTTGGGCAGTTTAGTATACATCAGGAGAGAAGAAGTTTTCAGTTCTCTGCAGACAGGAACATGAATTTCCTGAGCATGCCTTGCAAACACACTTACACGTCTCACGTTCTGGTTCAGGGCAGACTTTTCTGAGGGATTTTCTTTAACAGCTTTTCCCCTGCTCAAGCCATCCCCACCCAGCATCACCCTTGGAGCTCCCCTGGCACCCAGACCCCAGGGAGGAGAGCAGGGGCTGCACCCTGAGCCCAGCTAGGGGGGACTGCTCTGAACACAGATGCTCTGTCTGCTGGCTCCATTCCACACAGCTCCCTGACCCGCTGGGAGCTCCTCCTCTTGTGTGCCCACACATTTCTGGGAGGTGGCACAGACCAGGAATGAGAAATGCTATCACACACTGCTGCCACCAACCACACAGCCCTAACTGTGGCACTGGGGAAACACATTCCATTTGGGAAACACATTGAAGCACATTCCCTTTCTGAGCCATATCCCACTTCTGTGCCATATCCCACTTGGGAAATACATCCACTTCTGAACCATGTTTATTCAATTTCTGAGCCACATCCAAGCACTGGCACCAACGAAGCAAGGCAGGTATAAACCCCCCCCAAAATGAAACCTTACCCAGTGTTTTGTGCAGCCTGGGGCAAGGGGCATGCAAGGAGAAGGAATTCCATAAGGGGCTTATGGAAAAGAGGGAGAAGGGTTTCCTCACAGGCAGACTGTGGCAGGGGAAGGGAGAAGAGTTTAAAAGTATAAAGAGGAGAGATTTAGATTAGATGTAGGAAGCAGTTCCTGGCTCAGAGGGTGGTGAGGCACAGGGTACCCAGAGAAGGTGTGGAGAGCCCATCCCTGGCAGTGTCCAAGGCCAGGCTGGATGGGGTTTCAGCAAACTGCCCTAGTGAAAGGTGCCCCTGCCCATGGCAGGGCATTGGAACTGGATGGGTTTTGAGGTCCCTTCCAACCTGGTCTGTGGAGTTCTATGAAGGAGAAAGACCCCATGGAAGAGCAAAAGGGCAACCACAATCTCCTGCATCTGCAGGATCTGGTGTCCTGCCAGCTTCATGGGAGCTGTGCATGCATCAGGCACTTTTCACACATTTGTATTGCAGCCATGGGTTTGGGATCACACACAGAAAAACTTTCACATTTATCACATCCTAAATGCTGTGGCATAAGCTGATGACTTCTGGGGTAATATATTTCTTCTCATGTCCAGTGTTGGTTGATTGGCAGCAAACAATGTAAGATCTGGTACTAGCTATTATTTGAAGACAAGACTTTTTTTGGTGGATGTTGAATTAAGTATAAATGGGAATTGGAGCTTTTTGTAACTAAGAGAGGATTTGATTTAAAGTACAGGATGTGTATAAAGGTCATAAGAGAAAAAATGAGGCAACTGTAGATTATGTATTATTTATGGATATAGAGAGGAATAAATATTCATAATTCAAGGAAAACAGATAACATGGGCCTAAGTAATTGAGTGTTGTCTACTAAGAAAAAGAAGAAGTCCTTTTAAATGAAGAGAGATTATTCCTTCCCGTATGTGTAAAGACAGTCAGAAAAGTGTGATTTGTTTGACTGTGACTCATCCTTCCAACATTTGACGGATATGAATCAGATGACCTTCCCCTGGGAGCATATGCTGAAAACAAACCCAAGTTTCTGATTGTTTAGAACTCCTCAAAGATAGTTCTTGCAGTCAACAGGATCATCTTCATTTAGTGCTCATTTTTGTGGCTTTTTCCCTCTCCCATCAGGCACAGCCAAAGGGCATTATTCCCTGATGGGACTTGTTTCTCCAGCACAGGGTGAGCAAGGTGCTCAGACAGGTCACGGGCTGGACCCGAGCATGGGAGACGTGGAAGGACTCCAGCTGGACGTGTTGATGGTTGGTTTGACACCACTATGCCACAAGAGAAACATCTGGAGGCACCAAGTCTGAGTGAGAACACTTGAGCACACCAGTAAATTGCCCTGTGAAAAGGTCTGGTCTTCAATTCGTGGACAAGTCACGTACTGAGCGGGTCTCCCTGGAAACCTATTTTAATTTTTATGAAATGCTCTCCATCCACCCAATGGACAATGACAAAGCTGGTTTGTAACCACTCCAGTTCCTCTGAGGCATTTAATTGACCTTGGTCAAAGGATTGAAGCAAGGAAGGTGCCAGTAGTGAAAAAATATTCCTTCTATTCCCCCCAGTAACCGTTTTTTCCTATGGCACTTTCTGAAAGTCAGCCTGCCATAGCTGATAAATCTGATTAAAAAGCAACCACAGGAAATTTGATGCTCAGGTTGGGATCTCCCACAGCTGTGGGACTGGAGAAGCCCATGGGAAGAACAGTTTATATTCAGTAGGTACAGACATTCCCAAGCATTCCCAAAGGGTTACTCACAGCCCCGTGGCTCTGGGTATATACCATGCACTGGAGGAACTAAATCCCAGCTGTCCTAAGGCTTCCCAGCTCCACCAGTGACATTTTATATCCTCTTGGTCATAAAACACAAAGAGCTCTTCTGCCTTGGTTCTCCTGATTTAAAAATGAAGATGTCCAGAGACTGAAGCACAGCCTGAACAGATTTCATTACTTGTGAATGAGTCCAAAACAGCAAAGTTCTGACACTTTTCTCAGGAGGCTGGGGGGAAATCTGAAAGCAGTAATCCTGAACCAGACCTAAGAGAAATATGGAGGGCTGATGGAATGGGAGTTCACCAAGGAATGTGGCCAGGAAATAGAGAAAACCTGTTTGGACTTGCCTCTGCCAAGGCACACTGCGCAGGACAGGGGCTCCACAGGGCTTTTGGGAATGCTGCAGCTCCCATGGAGGAGCTGATGGGGATGCTGCACCACCTAATCTTGGCTAAGCTTGGCAAAATCACAGGTGCCAAATAACAGCCCCTCTTGTCTGAGTGTCTGAAAGGAGAAATGAAGTGGAGGGTGAAGAATTAGGATGTATGCAGCCCTATCTGGAACAGGATGCAAAGAAGAGAGCACTATTTTGCCTAATTTCACAGGGAAAATAGATCTAACAGTGAATGCATCTAACACAGGAAAATATACCTAACAGTGAGGCAGGTATGTGTGTGTGTGTATATATATAGATATATATATATGTATATATTATTAATGATATATTATTAATATATATATTAGGTGTATATATATACCTAACAGCTCTGTGTCACCAGCTCTGAAAGACACAGGATCTCTCTTACTTGTGACATTTTAAATGGAATGGAATAAAACACCAACAGAGATGCTAGAGAAGTAGATATCTTCAAGCAGGAACATGTACAAATGTAAGAGTTCTTCACTAAGTTTGATGATAAAAAGAGAGATCTGTAAGATTTAACAACTAAGGGCAAAAATGCTGGTTAATGAATGATTCTAACAAAATTTAGGGATTTTTCACAGCTTTTCAGAAGTGAGAAAACACACTATTAGTTATTCATCTTTGACAATTCATTCTAATACAAATCCCAGAGCATCACTCCTTAGCCCTCTCTCCCTTCCTCTTTTCAGCAGTGCCTCAGATTGTTGCTAGAAGGTGATGAGATCTTGCAGGAAGCCCAGAAACAGAGCACCATAAAAGATGGGGAAACATATAAATAATTTACAGCCAAAATAATGCTGAAGAGATTCCTGAAATTAAGATTCAGGAAATTCAAAGGCAAGAATTTAAGACATAAAGATAAAATATTAAATGACCATTTTCCTCCGATTTCAGGTCCCTTTGTCCTTTCTACATTGCCTTTTGCTCCCTCCCACTGCAATAGCAGCTTGCTATTAGGGTGAATCTAGTTTATTTCTGCTTTATCAATAAGAAACTGATTAACATCTCACTTTAGTGGTTATAAAAGTTAGCATCTATATTGCCAAGCAGTGCTGGACAGGAACATCAGCTTTATTTCTGACCTGCCAAATGAGGCCCAGCTCACAGGCAGTCTCTGCTGATGTCAGGTTGAAATGCTAAATTAGTTTCCATTGCTTCAAGAAACCCATCACCATTGTGTACAGGTGGGAGCCACCTGAACAGCTCAACCCAGCTCTCCTCCATGGGCTTTGCCTCAGTAATTCTGTTTCCAGCTGGTCTAGTGGCAGCTATCCCTGCCCAAGGCAGGAGGCTGGACGGGATGCTCTTTAGGGTCTCTTTCAACCCAACCCTTTCTATGATTCTGTGATTTATTTTGAATTATAGGAGCACAAATAATTGAACATGAGCACAGCTGGTGAAAACTGAAGCAAGCCCAAAGTGAAAGAGAGGAAACCTGCCTTGTTCCTATTCAGTCCCCTTGGAAAGTGAGAAAATCCCTGCACCTCTGCTGCCACTTCCTATGCTAAATGAGCCAAGGAAAACAGCTCCTGAAGGGCTGTGTTCAAGGCAATGGGTAGGTTTGCTGGAGAGTGGAAGGCTGTGCTCAAAAGCATTTTGAGACAGCAGAGTTAAAGAGTGCAGCAGGAGAGCCCCTGCAGCTCCTGGCACTCTGGAGGGCAGTGTCAAACCCACAAGTGCAGTGGTTTTGGTGGACAATGCATTCCAAGAGATTTACCAATGGACTGCAATTCCAGCCATGAGAGCTCAGGGAGCACTCTGAATCCAGAGCCAGATGGAAATGGTACCGGATTCAGTTTATATTGAATGTTTTTTATAGAAGGAGGTTAGAGCAAGAGATGTGAAGTACATGAAAAAAATGATGTTTAATAAAGTGAAACCATGACCTCTGGTGGGATGCAATCACAAGCAGCTTCCAGAGGTCAAGGAGTGAGTTTACACAACCCAAGCCAGGCCTGCACTGCCCAGCAAAGGTGAACTCTTAACTGGAGTCAGTTGAGTAAATATCCTGGCAAAGGCAAGGCAGTCTAAAATTCCCCTGTGAATCACTGAGCAGAAGCAAAGTTTCCCATGCTGTGAGCTTTTGACTCAACCTGGTAAATCACACAAAAATTACACCATGCTTCATTGTCCACGCATTGTCTACCTGATGTTGAAACCCATCACTTCTCACAAAGAGAAGATAGGGCTGCCTGTGGAAGATGAAGAGGTGCCTTTTGCAGGGATCTAGGTAAGTATTAATCGGTCTCATTTCTAAAATCTGGAGATTAAACCATAAATTCTTTACCAGATGCGAGTGCCCACACAAACCTAAGTTTTGTGTAAGCCCAGCTTTGGAAAAACCTGGGCTTTACTTTCAGTTTGGCTCTCAGGTCAGTGTAGAATTAATAAGCAGATTAATGAGATCCTCAAGTAATTTGCAGTTTAATGGTTCATTGAAGATTAAGGCGCCCCAAATGCTAGTAAAGCCATTTCTTCAGGTGTGTAGAAGTAGCAGAAATATCTGGGGGAGCATCCTGCACTTGCTGAGCACAGAGACAGGAGGTTGGATATCAGGAGAAGATTTTACACCCAGAGGGGGCTGGGACTGGAACAGCTCCCCAGGGAATGCTCACAGCACCAAGCCTGGGGCAGTTCTGGAAGTGTTTGGAAAATGCTGGGAATTTTGGGCTGTCCTGAACTGGGCCAGGAGCTGATGATCCTGATGGGTCCCTTCCAACTCAGCACATTCTGAGATTCTGTGATACCATCTGCAGCTATACAGCACAGTGTGAAGCTGCCAAGCATTCTTTTAGGAGTCTGTATCTACAAAAATTAAATAGTATAAAGTTATGCTGGCATGCTTGGCTGGAAAGCACTGATATTCATACCCTGACCTATTCTCCTAATCCTATCTCACAGGAAAAAATAAATGTACTAATAATTAACCAACACTAAACTCACAACACTCATTATTATTAACCAAAACAAAACTCACCACACTCATACATTAACCAAAAATGTTCAAAATTAATAAAATTTCAAATTAACAAACCAAAACCACGACACCTGTGCAAAAATAAAACTGGCATTGCAACAAGGCATGTTGGCAAATAACAGGGTTATATAGACAAATGTGCAATGAGAAACAATGCTAGCCTCAAGTATTCAGAAATCTCTACACAGATGATGAAAGTCACACAAGTCACTTAAAATTCAAGAGTTTCATCAAGGAATAAGTGCCCAATTCTAATTTGCTGCACAATTCAGCAGTGTTTTTCAGCTTTTAGTGAAATTCCGAGTGCCAGAACTTCTAAAAAATTATAGCTGATATTCATGTGAGATTTTGTGTTTCTGGCACCTCATTTGGAAGTTTAGACAGTAGTATTCAGAGTTTTGCCATAAAACTGACTCTTGTAAAACCCACATGTTTAACTGAAACCAACATGATGATAAAGTGGAATTGTGCTTTTTCAGCCTGAGGCTAGAAAACAAAAAAACTAACTCAGAAATATTTTTTTAAAAATTTAAAAAAGAGGTTACTGGACTCTCCTGACAAAGGAAAGGAAGACTCATTCTAGCTTTGGTGTTCAGTTAATGTAATGATATCTCTCTTTGTTTTCTGTACAAGGCCCCTGGAACTGGGGTTTATTCAAACAGACTGAGCTGTTATCCAAACTCTTTTCTTTATCTCAAATACTGCAACCTCCCACCTTGACAAATGCAGCCTTGCCCCACTGATCTCCACCATGAATATTCCACCAATGGAGTTTTTCTGACTCACCTGCTCATGCTGCTCCTCCTCTGCCTTGCTCATGCTGGACACTCCAAGTGTCCAGCTGCAAAGGGTTGGAACCCAGGACATTCCTCTGGCTGCCCTGGAGGACTTGAGACCCTGGAAAAGGGCTCAAAAACACTGGCACGGAGTCAAAAACACCGGTGCCTTCAATTTTAGCCCATGGAGAAAATTGCCAACTTTGTGTGAAGATTTACAAGCCACAAGATATTGAATAGAATAACAGTTAATTTGTCACAAAGTAGAAAAGTAGAATTTTTGAAATTTAGAATGAAGGTTTAAGAGGCAAACCAGAAGATTCTGAGAGTGTCCTGTCCTCCTTCTTTTTGCTCTCCATCTTCTGCTGTGATAGTGACACTTCTAAATTAGAGACAGACTGTCTAACTTAAGTGATAGGTATTTAAAAATTATTGTAAATAAAGTACACATAGCTCTTAGTATAAAAAGCTAACACCACCCCAAGGGCAGTGACTGTGCCACAAACCAACCTGCCAGACAAACATCAACAAGTCAAAAAAGAGAATGTAACAGATAAGAGAAAATAAACAACCTTGAAAACCAAAACCAAAGAATCTCTACTTCTTCTTCAGTCCCAAAGCTGAGAAAAAAAGTCTCTTGAATACCTCAAAAGCCATTTCAATTACAAAAACCCCAAGAGATAAGGACACCTGCTTTGCCTCTCAGCCTCCATCCACTGGAGAATATCTGCTGCCATTCGGCAGCAGGCACACTCCTGGTCCTGGTGCCTACAAATCCAGAGTGTGGGATGGGCCCAGCTCCAGCCTGCTCTGCTGACCAGCACTGCCTGCTCTGTAAAACCACAGAACTGCTGAGGGTGCATGATCACCAATTGTTGGGGTGTTGTGAGGGTCCCAGGATGAGGTGAGACATGAAAATTGACTTCAAGTTCTTAGAAGGCTGATAGCCATACCATACCATACCATACCATACCGTACGAAAATGCTATACTAAAACTATACTAAAGAAAGAGAAAGGAGACATCAGAAGTCTGGACAAGAATGAATAATAAAATCCCGTGACTGACCAGAGTCTGACACAGCTGGACTGGGATTGGTCATTAAGTAAAAACAATTCACATGGAACCAATCCAAGATGCACCTGTTGGTGAGCAACCTCCAAACCACATTCCAAGCAATCAGATAATTATTGTTTACATTTATTTTCTGAGACATCTCAGCTTCTCAGGAGAATAATTTTTCATAAAATATCACAGTGACAAGAGTGAGGGAGACTTCCAGGGCTGTCCTGTCTCCTGCCCTCTCACCTCTCAGGCATTTTCAGGCAGGGCTTTTCTCTCTGTTGTGTGTTACACTGGTTTTGGGTCTTGCTCCACATTAAAACTCCCAAGCACTGCCTTCACAGATAAATACAGGTAACAGCAATAGTTCACCATGAGGTAAATGAGGAATTTCAGAAGACAAATGATAATGGGCAGTGCTCTATCCTTTCTTGGAGACCAGGGCAGAATGCACTCAACCTTTACCAGCATCCCAGCCCAGAGGGAGCAAGAGCAGCATTCTACAGAAATTAAACTCCTCAAATCCTTGTAAGAGCACAAAGCTCTGGGTGCTTATTAAGAACAGGTAGCAGCAGAAGTTATTCGGTTTTATGCCTTTGCTTGCTGTCTAGAAACACCCATCCATTCAGAGTGCAAGGCCAGGCAGAATGTGCTGAGTCTCCCTGAGAAAGGCATGCACCTGAAACAGAGCCAAACTCTGCACAGCTGCTGTTTCTGTTCAGCCAATCCTAGTTTTCCAAAATGCACAAATGTAGTACTTTAAAAATCATAATAGTGGCTACAAATCCATAATGAGATTTTGATGTTAAATTACTATCTAAATGCATAGTTAGTGCTTATCCTCTAAAGCTTGAAGTCTGTGGTTGCATCTGATTCTTTCTCCTCAGGGGATTTTTCATAATCATTAATATGAAAAAAAAAAAATCTTTTACACTGATAAAGAAACACGTTTTTGTGATAAGACCAAAGCTAGCGGGCATGAAGCATTGCAAGTTTTAATTGCAGCAAACTCCTTTGTTCTTAAATTTACTTATCTTTCCAGGAGATGAAAATCAATTTACATTGCTGTTACACCTTACCCTTTTTTGACACTCTGAACTCTGAAGCTTATAAAACCGACTCCACTGCTTTGAGAATGCATAAAAAAAAAGAAAAAGGAAACCATTACAACCAAGCTACAAAGAGCAGAAGATGAAGTTCCAAAGATCCTAAGACTGAGCACTCAGGCTCATCTTTAACTTCTTAACTCACCTTTGGGTTTTAAACATTCTTCATATTTCTGAGGTGCTTGAACTCTGGGATCAGAGAGTTAGTTAAGATTCAGGGTCTAAGGCTGAAAACCATTTCCCCTGGAAACACATTTACCTCAGAGTGTAATTTCTCCTAGGATGGAACTTCTTGTTGAGCCTCTCCCTTCTGCTGTGCCAAATTGGAACTCGAGCAATGCTGTGATGATGATATTGTGATGAAGCTTTGCTTAATCCAGTTAGGGTAAATTAAATTTGAAAGGAGAGAGGTGTAGGACGCTGTGCCAAGTAATTTGCTCAGGTTACTGAGCAGAAAAATGAAGCACCTGTTAAAAATGTGTGGTGTAATCTTTGAATGGATGTGCAGAGTGTTTATGGAGGTGTTGTTGTATCCTCCCCAGGCTCAGGTGAAGTAGAGTCATGGTTTAGCAATGGCATTCCCCAGTTCAGTGCTCCTAGCAAAAAGATCAGTGGAAGTCTCTCCTCCCCAGCACTCTCCAGTGGGAGGCACAGAAGGCAGGGATCATGGGTTGAGATAAGAACTTTACTGGAAACAGCAGTGAGATAAGAAAAAGAACAGCAGCATATGGAGGGGCTTGACAGCTGGTTTACAAGCAAAGCTGAGTTAATAGAAGAAATAACAATTGATGGTTTTTGAGCTCATCCATAGCAAGCAAGAAGACAAGGCCACCAGTAGGGAAACAGATTAGAGAAGATACATGAAAATTTTTGTAAGCTAGACTACGTGCCTAAGTAGATGTGTATATGTGCCTTATTTAATTTCTGTAAAACTTTTGCCAATTATATTGACGTTAATTGCTTTGCACCAATGAATATAATCAGTTATTGTGATGTAGTTAATGACTTAAGATTATGCTTTGTTAAGACTATATATGTTGCCATGATATTTTATGAAAAATCCTTTGCTAGGATCTTTTTCTCCTGAGAAGTTTAGAGGCCTCAGAAACGAAATGTAAACAATGGTTATCTGCTGCTGTGGAATGCAACAGGTGCATCTTGGATTGGTCTCATGTGGTTGTTTTTAATTAATGGCCAATCACAGCCCAGCTGTCTCAGACTCTCTGGTGAGTCACAAGATTTTATCATTCCTTTCCATTCAAGCCTTCTGATGAAATCCTTTCTTCTATTCTTTTAGTATATTTTTAATATATAATTTTAATATAATATATATATTAAAAAAATAAATCAGCCTTCTAAACCATGTAGTCAAGATTCTCATCTCTTCCCTTGTTCTGGGACCCCTGTGAACACCACCACATATATAAGTTAGAGCACATGCAAAGTAAAAAACTTTTTTCTTCTTAGACCCTGATCACGTGTGTATGCCATGACCAACCAAACAGTGGCAGCAACAGCGACGATCTTGATAATGAAAGTATGCAAAAGAGGGTGATTCACATGAACAAACACTCACTGAGGGCTCTGGGACACAGAGAACAAATGGCAGATGGCTTCCCCTGCCCCTCTCTGTCCCCTGGAAGCCCTGCCCTTCTTATCAGTGGCAAGAGAGTCCCTTGTCCCCAGCAAGGATGCGGGGTGTTATCAAACCACATTGGGCTCTAGAGACACGCCCCTGGCCACTGCAAGGAACGAGCACTGTCCTTGCTGGACACTAGGACACTGAGCACGCCGGGCTGGGAGTGAGGTGAGGGGGGCACAGCCCTGCTCTCTGCGTGGAGTGGGATTGTCACTGCTCACACCTGTCTGCACTAAATCACTTCCACTCATTACTGCCCGTGTCACAGAGAATTTTGGGAAGTCTTTGGCTATGAGACTGGAGTGTTGGAGCTTCTACTTGCAGGTAATGAAGTGTGTGAGCTTGTGGGAATGCTGAATTCCTGAGCTGTAGAGGATGCTGACATCACAGGTATGCAGAGTGGGGATCCCTGCAAACACAGTATGCCAAGGCCTGCCTGCCATGCACAAGGAAAAACACAGTTCTGCCCTGGCTGGCTTCACCAGGCACCTCAGGCAGAAAGCCAGAGGAAGGCCACATCTCCTGACAACCAGGAGTCATTCATATTTCCACAAAGGCAGCCAATATGTAGCTGCACTCCTCTGTAATTGAGGAAAAAAAATTAATCCCTTGCTAGGAAATAAGAGAGCAATTTCTCATGAAGAGATGTCACACAGATCCTTTCTAGAGGGATCCAGATAGGCTGGAGCATTGGGACACCCAGTTGCACTAGAGGAGCACTTTTGGTCTTTTCCAAGTGAAATATTGTAATCTATTCTATCAAACTCATAAACCACAGAACAACAGACAGAGCATGGCTTATCTAAAACTCCTGTGTCTACAACTGCCATGAACTATGAGTATTTCTTGGAATGAATACTCTGTGTAACACAGCCTTCAGTGATTTATCAGACACAGAAATAAAGGCTGGCAGTCATTTCAGTTCCTCATGTCTTTTACTCATATTCCTCTCTTTCCCTGTACGCAGACACAAGTGCAGGCGCTCAGGCCCTGCATTTATATGGTATCATGTTCCCACTCCCATCCAGCCCACAGCACTGCACCTCTACATGGTGGGAGTCAGAGCAAGCCCTTTCAACCACACCACATCCTTTATCTCCCTTTATCTCCCAGAGCTTGTGCTGTGCTGGCACTGCTGGAGGTGTCTGACCACAGCTCTTTCTCCTGTCACATTCTGTGGTCTCACTTCAAGGGCACAGAAACCTTTTCTTCCACACCCATGAGACTTGCAGAGACACTCCACCTCCCTACACTCCCTTTCCTAGACTTCCCTTCACTCCCCTAAATGTTACTGAAGTCACATTCCCTCAATGCCCATGTGAGGGGTTCAAGGATTTTTCAGAGGATAAAATATTTTGCATGTGTCAAATCATGGCCCAGACTAGTGAAACAGTCTGTTATGACACATTTGACATCAAACCCCAAATCTGAAACACATTTATGTCTGCACAATTTGCCCCAGACAATCATCTAATGATTGAGCCGTGCAAGGAATCTTGTCTTGTACTGCTGCTTTCATGTTATATTACCCAAAGTGTTCAGTTATTACCTTACCAGATTGGGTTTCTCTCACTTTCATTATTTACAAAGGCTCAACCTGCACGGGAAAACAACCCCAACATAAAATTTCAGGAACCCAAGGCCTGAACCAGAAGGAGCACAAAGCAGCACCCCATCTGAGGCTGTCTCAGCCTCCTTCAGAATGACCCACAGAGATCTCCAGGAGGCAGACAGAGGTGCTGGCAGATAACATTTCACTGCTGCTTTGATGTTCCCCATGTCAGTAAACCATGGCAAATGATCCTGAGGCAGCAGGGCTGCAGCCCATTGCTCTCTTTTTTCTCACCAGCACGGGGAGCACAGCAGCGAGCAGGATAATGCAGCGGAATGCAGCCCCAGGATCAGCCCAGCAGGTGCAGAGCACACACACAGTCCCTCCTGTCCCCTGGGCTCATTGTCCTGAGGTGTGGCTCACAGAGAAAGGATCACAGGAGCATTTGGATCTCTCCTGTGCCCAGGCTGGGCTGTGCCTGGCAGCACAGGGAGCATTTGCTGCTGTGGAACAGGACACCAAGGGGCAGGCATGCCTGCCATTGCTGGGATAGCAGCACAGCACAGCCCCCTCCCTGCCAGGGCCTCCGGGCTCCCTTTGCTCACACTGGGCAGGGGTCACTGCGGCATCCATATTTTCTGGAAAAATCCCTTGGCCCAGGATTTTCTGGGAAGCCCCAGAAAAAAAGGAAAACAATTACTATCTGATTTGCTTCTCCTGTGTTTTGCTCATGTGGAATGTGTTTGGAGATTGTTTCACTGGTTTCATGTGAATTGTTTTGATTTAATGACCAATCAGTGCCAAGCTGTGTCTGCCTCTGGAAAGAGTCACAAGTTTTCATAATTATTTTTTTAGCCTTCTGTCTGTATCCTTTCTGTATTCTTTAGTATAGTTTAGTATATGTTACTAAACATATGTTTATATATGTGTGTTACTAAACATATTATGTTTATATATATATAAAACATGTTATATATAGTTTAGTATATGATACTATAATATAATATATTATCATAAAATGATAAATTAGCCTTCTGAGAACATGGAGTCAGACTCATCATTCCTTCCTTTGCCTGGGAACCCACAAATCCAACAGGTGCCCCCTGAAATGGGGGAGCAGAGCTCTTGCACAGCCCCACAGGCAGCGTTCCTCCCCTGCCAGGGCCAGCCCAGCCCCAGTCCTCGTGTCCTTGTGACTCCAGCTCCAATTACACACCCATCTGAGCTCAGGAGGGGAAGTGTGAAGCAGATGGACAGGCTATAGGTCACCTGAAAGTATTCCATGAACTGAAGCCCTCCTCCAAACCAGAGTCTAATGCTGAGAAACATTTCTGCCCTCTGCTCTGCCAGCAAACCCCTGCATGGTGATGCTCTGGTCAGTGCTGAAAGCAAAATCCTTGCCATGGAGTGAGATCTGTCATCAGGAGAGCAAGCACAGCCTTAAACCACATTCTTGCACAGCAGCTGAGAGCGCCAGGGGCTGAAGCTCCCTGATGTTTCTCCCTGAGTTCTCACAGCAGCTTTCAGATGCACAGGAGCTCCTGCTCCTCCCTTGCCCACGTGCACCAAACCAAGCCCATCCCAGGGCCGTTTCCATTGTTTTCCTCCAGGAGAATAAGGATAACTTGGGCAGAAACCCTGGACTTGATGAGAATTAGGACTGGAGACCTTTCTTTAGGCCAGGAGCACTGTTGTGAGCCCAGCCCAGCTGCTGGCCCTGAGGAGCTGCCTCACTGGAAAGGTGTCTGTGCTGGGGAAAGTGTCACCCAGTGCTCATGGGACAGGGGAAATGCACAAATCCTGCACAATTTCAGTATTGTTTTGCCCATTACCTTCTAAAGATTGCTGCTGGTTAGCACACCTTCACCTTGTCTGCATTTAAATAAAAATTAAATTTGCTGTTGAGTCCTAACCCTAAGAGAATTGTTATTAGGAGATGATGCCTCTTCAGCCATGTTAAGAATATCAGATGCAAAGCCTGACTCACCAGCAGTACCTGCTGTTTGATGAGAGTGAAACCAAATCCACCAACCTAAATCTGATCAATTATTTTTCAATACAAATTTAAAAAAAGCAAATTTTGAACACTCTAAACAGCGTTTAGACACCAACATTTGCTCTTATCATAATGGTGTTATAAAATAAGCATGTTTGCAAAGTAAGGCAAGGTCTTGGGTGGGTTTTGAATGATATTAACTGCCAGATATCTATATCTATATATCTATATCTATCTATATAATATAATTATATGTATACATATAAATATATATAAATATATAAGATATATAATATATATATATAAAAAATATATCTATGTGTATATACACACACACACATCCTTCATTAGTTCTAGCAAACCTGTACCATCAACCCCCATCTTCAAGGATCACATTTTCATTATCCATGTCAAAGCACCAGAAAAAAAAAATAGAGAAAGGTGACATGGTATAAGAGACAAGGACCTGTGTTTACAGCATAAAATATTTTGAATTGTATTTTGGATGTTGCCAGAGCTACTCTGAGGCTTTAGCTAAGGCATATGATACTCCAACTTGTCACTGTGCATGAGTTTTCTCACCTTCAAAACAGAAATAATATATCCCTACCTTATGAGGTGCTTCTTTCTCATTCCATAGGGGAAAGCTTTGGGGTCCAAAGTAAATTCAAACTGAAAGACAGAAAAATATTTTCAATGAAAGTAAAACCCATCAAAGTCTACAAAGACACTATTTTTTTCTTAAAAAGTCAAAAACAAAGTGAGAGGGAGGGTTTCTGTGCAGAGTAAAACCCACTAAATCTTACTCTCTCTGGGATGCCCTAAAGCTGCCCTCACAAGCCTGGTTACTGGGGAGAATCTTTTGCCTCTCTTGCATCTTGATGACTTTCTGAAAAAATGGCCTTGCTGTTTGCTTCCCTTACAGGACAGAAAGGGATGGGCTTCCATTGCACTTGTGTGTCTTGGTATGAAAAATCATGCAATCATAGAATGGCTTGAGTTGGGAGGGACCTGAAAGGCTGCCCAGCTCCCACCTCTGCTGTGGGCAGGGACACATTTCATTAGACCAGGTTTCTCAGAGCCCCATCCAAGTTGGCCTGAACACCTCCAGAGATGAGCCATCTACAGCTTCCCTGGGCACCCTGTTCCCGTGGGGAAGAATTCCTTCTCAACATCCGGTGTAGACCTGCCCTGCTTCAATCTGGAATTCCTGGTCCCAGATGAGCTGTGGGGACAAGCAAGTGGGGTTAATTGAGGTTTAGGTGCCACCCAGAGCTCTCTGCCTGCTCAGCAATCCCAAGGGTTCCCTTCCCTCTCTGCCTTCTCTGGGTGGCTGCAGAATGAGCCAGCTGTCCTGGCAAGGCAGGAGGGGACAGCTCTGCTGGCCACTGAGTCACTGACAGATGCCAGGTAAGAGCAGTAAGTGCTGTCACAGCTGCCACATCACGGGCAGCATTTAGCCATCATTTTGTGCCCTCTGACAATATCCAGCTGTGACCTGTGGAGGGATGAGACTTCTGCCCCCAGACTCACTTGTACTGAAAAGCCACTGAAATGATTAATGTCTATGCCAGCAATCATGGGCAGATACTCAGGTGTCTGCAGTGACCTGGTACACCTCTCAAGCAACATCAGAAACCTGAACTTGTGACTAAGTTTGAATAACAAAATGTGTTAGACACTGTCACCATGATATTTTATGAAAAATCCCTTCACCAGGATTTCTTCTCCTGAGAAGCTTCAGCTTCTCCCTATTTTGCTGCTTTGGAATGTGATTTGGAGAATTCTTTACCCAGCATGTGAATTGTTTTAATGTCCAATCACAGCCAGCTGTGTTGGACTCTCTGTCACAGGTTTTTATTATCATTCTTGTTTTAGACTTCTGATGTCTCCTCTCCCTTTCTTTAGTGTAGTTTTAGTATATCAATATATGAAGAGGATGAGATGATGATGGGATTGAGATTTGAAATATGAGATTTGAGATATGAGATTTGAGATATAATACGTAATATAGTATATAATATATAATGTAATATAATACAATACAATATAATATAACAATACCATAAAATAATAAGTCAGCCTTCTGAGAACATGGAGTCAAATTCCCATCTCTCACCTCGGCCTGGGGACCTCACAACACCACAAGGCATCACCCAGAGAAGTGAGGAGAGCCTGCACTCTTTCCTGAAGCAATGAGCAAGAACTGTGCTCAGGCCTTAGGAAAAGTCAACTCCTGAATATACTACTTATCTCTTCAATAGCTCATGGCCAGCCTGAGCATCAAAAATGCAGAATAGCAACAACAAAAAACCATCTCTAGTATGCTTGTTCATTACAGAATAACATCATCTTAAACAAAGAACCCAAGAGAATAAATGGCTCAACCAAGGACATTGCTCAGTTTAGGAATGCTAAACAGGACAGTTTGCATTGGTTAAACTTCAGCAGGAATGTGTTCAGCAACTGAAAAGCCACAAAAGATTCATTTTACTAATTGTTATGTGCTTGTTTCTGTTTTGCAGATTGTTAATTACTTGTGCATGGTGTCAGTTGACACGTGCCAGTCAGGATTTTGTATTTTGGTCATTCTGCTGCCAGGCAAAGACCTTCAAATGCTGCAATTGTTCCTCCTTTGGCCATTTAGTGACAGCAGATAAAATGAATATACTAACATTCCAAATGAGGGGGACAGGACACCTTCAACAGTCTTTATTTGGCTGTTGAATCAAAGCTGACAGTAAAAATGCAATATAATGAATTAGCACTTTAGCAAATTACTCAGTTAATTGGGACACTGGAAATTAAAGATCATCTGTGTTATGCTCCCACACATATTCCTTGAGACAAAGACCTGGGATTTAGACATCTCTGATGTGATAAATTTGGGGCTAAGCAGGCTTGTTTTAGCTGTCTTACACACGTTAGGAAAACTGAATTTATCCCTCATGGCCAAACTCAAAGCTAAGTATTCCTTTCCCAGCACTCAAAAGGCATCCTGAAAAGAAAAGAACAGATTTCCCTCAGCTCAGATGTTTCTCATTCTTACCTCTTAATTGTCAGTTTAAAGATGCAGTAATTTTTACTTTTATTCTGAAAATAATTACAGGCAGTTAATACATTTGCCTAAATAAGGAGAGAGGAGAAAAAAAAAAAAAAAAAAGGCATACAACAGCTAGGCAGAGTAAGTTGAGTTCTGATGAACACCAAATTGCAAAGATGGCCAGTACAGTTGTTCAGGTATCTGTCCACTAGAGTTGCTATTATTTACAGGTGATAGATACAATTTATAAATACCAAATTGATATACAAATACTTATTAATTTATTTATAGATAATCTGTTTATATTATATATTTATTAATCTATTGATATTTAAATATTTACAAACACCAAATTTATACATTTGGTATTTAGAATATGCATTAAATTTGAGTATGAGTAAGGTGAACACTGTGGTAAAAGACACAAAAAAAGCATTGCCCAGAAAGCCTTATCCTCCTACCAGGATTTCATCCCATCTTTTGAAACACCAGAATTCTTGATGTGCTTCACTCCCTGTCCATCAAGTGTCTGCTGTCCCTTCATGCATCCCATGTTCCCACCTTGGCCTTAGGAGAGGGAGTGAGTACAAAACCCTGCATGTGTTTGGCCATGGGTGAAGATCTCCTTCTCACAGAGCTCTTCTGCTCCTGGGACAAGGCCTGGCACTGAGAACAAATGAGGAAAATGCATTGTGGATGCACTAAAGGTCTGTGTGAATTTCTGTGACCTTCTGCTGGGTTAGCCAAGCAAGGTTTCACCTCCAGAAATAACACGCATATATCCAGCTTCACTCCCATTAATAAGGTCCCCATGAAAATGAAAAGCAAAAAATTATTTTGTTTTAGAGGTTTGTGGAACAGAATATCTTTTGGGGTGTAATTTGTGGTGTAAATTTGTCCCAAAGTCACAATCAGAGAAGAGACAGAAGGAGAAATCCTGCCAGGTGAGGTCACAGCTGGAGATGACCAAGGAGGCTGAAACACCCAGCTGTCACTGTGATATTTTATGAAAAATGCCTTGGCCAGGATTTCTCCTGGGAAGCAGAGAAGCCTCAGAGAGGAATGAAAGCAATAATTATCTGATTGCTGCTTTGGCATGTGGTCTGGACATTGTTCACCAACAGGTGAATGTTTGATTGGTTCCATGTGAATTGTTTTTAATTAATGATCAATCACCATGAGCTGTCTCAGACTCTGAAGAGTCACTCACAAGCTTTCATTCTCATTTTTGCCAAGCCTTCAGATGTATCCTTTCTCCTTCTTTAGTATAGTTTTAGTATAGCATTCATATAATATCATATATTATCATATATTATATTATCATATATCATGTATCATATATCACATCCTATGTCATATAATATATATCATGCATCATATAAAATCATATATCATCAATCATGTATCATATAATAAATCAGCCTTCTGAGAACATGGAGTCAGATTCTCACCTCTCACCTCATCCTGGGAACCCTCACAAACACCACATCAAAGAATTACAAGTTTTAACTGACAGATTTCCTCCAAGGTTTTTCTATTCCCCACAAAATGAGCCAAGTGATGTTGGGAATTTAGCTGACTAGAGACTGGAAAAGTACAAAGCTGTAGCTAATTCCAAGTCCTGCACCTGTGAGATAGCGTGTCCTTGGGCCTAGCTGTAGTATGATAACAAAAGTGAAAGAGACATGAGAAAAGAGAGATGTAACCCCTAAGGAATGAGGAAGAGTTCATGGTATAGTTTAACCAATAGATTGCTTGGCTTACAGAATATTCATAAGCTTATTATTTGCTGTATAAGTGTTTGATGCTTTCTTCAATAAACTGGACCTGTGATGAACCAGCTGGTGTCCTGGTCCCCTTCCTTCGACAAAGTGTAGTCCTTTTGATGTGTTAATGGATTAACACTCTGCCAATGATGTCAGGATGTAATTTTTCCAGAGTGTGATATCTTCAAATGCTTTACACTTTGCTAAAGCCAAAGCCATAGAATTCAGTTCATTATACAGGCATACTGATAATGTATGCAGATTTCAGAAAAAATCAGACCATAGAGGCCCATAATAACTCTTGTATATATGGAATTTGGTATCCCAAAGGGCAGAAAAACTCACAGTAAAGGATAAAAAGACTTAGTATTGATACCCAAGTTTTACTGCAGCATTCTTTCTTAAACCTGAATGCATTTTATTCATGCCTACCTGCCCAAGATGAAACATTTTCCTGCCTCTAAAAGTAGTCCAAAAATGTAAATACCGTTTCATACTTTTTAGTGATGTATCTTATCAGCAAATACATGTCAATTGATGCCCTATCAATCACAGGGAACATTTCATCCAATGTAAACTGTTCTATTGACTGGAATGCTGTTAATGTAGCTGAAGCTTTGAAAAGGTTCCTTCCTTCAAGCACATGATTACGGGAAATGCACACTGTGTGTTCTTTCACACATGTACACTAAGGGCTGATCAAAAAACAACAATCAAAAAAATTAATTTCTGAAAATCTATTTCAATACAAAGGATCTGAAATCTTTGCATTCTCTTCTGTTGTTCCTTAGCTCTACACCTTTTAAATCTACAAACGTGTTTATGAATATTACAAAACACATTAATAGATTTTGGCATATTGA